AAGAAGAAAGGTCAGGAGTGATCTAAAGTCCAAACCCTAAACCCTAAACCCTAAAGTCCGTGGTCGAGGAGCGAAGGCGGCTAAGGCCTCCTCCTGCGGCAGCGTTTTCTTCGGCTGCTCGGGAAGCCTCGACCGCTTGAAGCCTTAGTGAACCCGAAGTCGATGAAGGAAGGTTCATCTACCCAAAACCCTAAACCCTAAACCCATTTATAGAGCTTAAGGAGTTGGATGTTTAGGGAAGTAACGTGTGAAGGGTTTTGAATGGTTGGCGGTGTACAGTCGGAAGTGTCGAGGTCGCTGTGTTTCGCAGCCGCCCACCCTTTTTAGCACTGGAGCCTTGGGAGCTTCAATTAGACGGTTTAAGGATTTAGGGTTTAGGGCTAAGGGTCTACGGCTTAGGATTCAGGGTGTAGGGTTTACTAAACCCTAAAAGGTTTAGCTTCGATTTTGCTGTCACCCACCACCGTCTTCGTAAGATTCACGATCCCTAAGGACAGCGTCCTGGACTTTGCAGCCGTTGCTTGCCAACTCATCCGAGAACGGCCCTATTGGCGCGATTTAGGGTTTAGGGTTTAGGGTCCTGGGTCCCTAAACCCTATTGAAGCAAGGTACAATCAGACAGCGTTGCCTGGCCAGGCACCGGCCTCTTCCTGGTCGGAGATTTGGATCCTTCCCGACCATCGCAAGAAGGAACATCTGGGATGGACAACTGGCAGAATTTGCTACAGAGTTTCAGCAGCCCTTATGATTGTGTCAAGATTCCATTCAGTTAGCCATAGCCGGTTCCTGACAGCAACCGCTTCCGTCCTGGTCCTTGCAGCATGGCACTGGCCGTAAGGGTGAGCTTGCCCATCGGCACCTGCAGGGATATCGCAGGAACTGGAGTATCGATCGAGCTCGCACACCGGGCACATGAGATTCGCACGCATGACTAGCAGCGGCTTCTTCACAGCACCCAACGAATCCACTCAAAGGCCTTGGCAGCCTGCTCAGCTGCCCATGCACCTGGATTCTGCAAGTGTGCCAATGTCTGGCTGAGGTGCAACTGCGGGTACGAAAAGAGACATGAACTATGTTTATATATATTTCTTTTTCGTATATTTACTGACATGTAAGCAAGGCTCGTGTACGTCCACACACGCATGTCGATATCAATAGAAACGCACGTATGTGTTGCATGCGTGCGTGCGCATGTACATTTATGTATAAATAAGAACAGCGTGTGTAGGCGTGTGGACGATTACTTATAAAAAGCAACTAGGTTCAGATGAATACATACATAAACCCACACATACTAAATCAAAACAGCGGATTAAAAGGTATGCGTGCTTATACACTTACATGCATAACCAAAGCCTCTGTGCAGACACATGCTACATACCACCCATACTACATGCTCATATATTTGCACATGCCATGCGCAAATACAGATAGACAGATGCACGAGAGCATCAGGGAGAGGGCTAGATGGTCATAAAATATATGAAAATGTGATAAACATACGCATAGAACCAGCACATAGAAGCAGAGAACAAATAGACAGATCCATGGATAAACACAGATCGACACAGATACAGTTAGGGAGAACAAAGAAAGACACAGCGATAAGGATGATGATGATGATGATGTGTTGTATACACATACATGGATACGTAGACGCATACATGCGAGGGTATACAGTATACGGTACCGAGATGCATGCAGACGCACAGACGAACATCTTGAGTAACTTCTTCCAGATGGGGACATGCACGCGAAACAGCTGGCCTAGCCTACAGACCAGAGTAGACACCGCACAGTACAGCTTGCTGAAGCACACGGTGCAACACTACAAGAACGTGTCAAGTACCAGAAAAAATGTCCTACCTGGTATCTTTAAATTTTATGATGGTCTAGCATGCCCTGCACTGACAGCGCGTAAGCCCACCAAACTCCGATCAGGTCTGTATCCCATAAGCATGCACTGCAACAGGGGGCTGATGAGTGTGCAGCAGGCATTCGTCAGGGCCGCGATTCGGGCGCCGCGCCTTCCCTCCAACACCTCGGAAGCTCGACAGGTGAAGGGCAGAATCGCAAAGGATGGGAAATGACGATACATCGTGGTGTATCTCGTTGTCATCATCAAGGAGCAAACCTGTCTTATCACCATGGAAAGGCGTAGAGACTTTTCAGCACCTTCCCGCTCTGGCAACAGAAGATCTGCACAATGAACAAGCTGCTGATCCCTAATACTGTGAAGAAGCAGAAAGTACTGTAGTTAGGCATACACAGATACCAATACAGATGCAGATGGAGCGGGTGATGGTTACAATAACAGCCAAACAGGTAGGCATTAAGCGGACGGATGCACAGTTTAGGATGCGGAGAACTAGGAGTCGTGAGCAGCACCACCAGACATCTCTTGTATGCCAGTATATGAGTGCGAAAAACTTCTATATCTGACTTTCGTCAAAGCGGCTTCAGGGCCGTCAGCGAGCACGGCCGAGACACCTGCTCAAAATTGCTCAATCTGCTTTTTGAATCTAGGGTTTAGGCTTCAGGAATCGGGGTTCTGGTGCCTGAGAGCGTCAGAAACTCCGTGCCGTAGACTGGGTGCTTGTAGGCGGCCGGCTTGGCAGAAGCCTGGTGCAGAACAGTGCTGCAACACCTGAACCCGTGTTCGGGCGCTACGTAGATCACACATGAAGGCATGCCATAGGTGCTGAGATAAACTTCGAACTTTTCGGCCGGTTGCCCCAACAGAGATATGTGCATAAACAGATATCAAGACAGACATGCGCACATACATGTTTTTTGTACGTATGCCTGCATGTATATCTATACAATATATCCATGCGTATGTAGATGCCTCTTTGCAGAGAGTCACATCACGAAACACAAACTCGCACTCCAGTAGACTACGCAATAAGCTTTCCACCATCCTATTCGAAGCCAGTTAGCGTCCAAACAAACAGGCCGGGCTGACCTCAGGAGCATGTGCGCACATCTGGTTCGTGCCCATGTCAATCTGCACCTCCACCCTGCCATCCGTCGGCTCTAAGCCTGGCCAAAGTCAAAGTCTGAGGAGCAGGGCCTTATGTTCGCGCAATATAGTTTATGCCGTAGATATGTATATTATATATATATACATACATACATACATATACAAAAAGCATCTATACGATTTGCTCCTACACTAGTTAAAACTGCTATCCTAGTGCTATGTGAACTCATGTTGTTAGGGTTAGCTTCAGTTTCGCATGGTACAAAAAACTGAAACGCAATATGCCAGAACACAAAAAAACACGACAAAACACATGGGATGGCGTCAAGCCTGCAAGGAGGCCACGAGTTCAGAATCTGCAACAAGGCTACCCATATTGTTTAGGTTTTAGGGTTTACCCCAAACCCTGCCCTAAAAGCTTGCATCTTCGTCTGGAAGTTGAATTTGGCACAATCCCAATTTGCCGGCACTGCCCAGACATGGCAAATCCTGGAATCAAGAACATATACGCAAGAGCTGCTGGACAATGCTGGACAAGGAATCCTCAATAAACAATATTGAATTATTGAGTTCTAGCTGGGCTCCACAACAACATAGGGTTCCTCAATAAGCCCTAAATGAATTGCTGTTTCTGTTTCCGGGCATATTGGGGCGCGTATAGGATTTCTGCGAAGTGAAATACCATCAACTGGCTCCTGTTGACGTTTCGTCCATAGCTCAACTTCGATATCGCCAACGAGCGCACCCATAAGCAAAGCAAACAAGCCGGACTCAATGGATATCCCTGTCTGGTTCCTTCCGACTGAACTCTCCAGTGAGATTCCACGTCACCCAACTTAACTTTGAGTTTTGGATTCGCTTAAAGAGTTCCTATCAGGCCTATGATCTTATCCGGGAACCTTCAATCTGTGTGACATTTCGCTGAGCCCGGTTGGAGAAACCTTGTCACAATAATTTACCCTATACAGTAGGACCAAGATGCTGTTGAGTTTAGACTTTTTGGGATGTCCTGCAATCGGCACATTACCATACCATACTATTCTATTGTTAATACTATCTTGTACTAAGCTATAGTATACTACGCTATATATACTATACTATACTGTAGGATATGATACTATACTATACGATTCAACTCTATGCTACAATATACTACGGCATATTTTCATAGACTGCTATGAACTAGAACATGCTCAAAAAAGAACGGCATTAGACTCTAATAGACTATCCCACCCAGAAGAGATCAGATATCGCAGGGACACTGCAGCACCTCTGAAGGCCGCGCTTGGGAAGGCCACGCTGCGGCTGCAGCTGCGGCCATCGGTGCTGCCCGGACCGGGCCTTTACGTCGCAGCAGCTACTATATAGGTAGAATGAGTATAGTAACTATAGTATAGCCGAATATAATTTAGTATAGTATAGTATAGAAAAGCATAGTATAAGTCGTAGATGTAAGGCTGCAATACAGGGGGCTACGATGCGAGTATGCAAGGTTTCGGGTTTAGGGTTGAAGGTTTAGGGCTTGCGGTTTAGGCTTCCAAGTATGGCGTTTGGGGTTCAGGGTTTAGGGCAAGGTTTTTCTTTATCACCTCTTTTCCATCTGCCCCAAATTGTGTCCGGAATCCCATGTTGAGGCTGGGTTACGGGGGATTCACCACCTACCACATAGCATCAGGCTTTCAGGGTCTAGGGTGTACTTAAGGAGCCGAAACTATGGGCATTACATGGTATATTCCTTACTATGGGTAATGCAGGATTTATATCATCAACCGCAGCATGGTCTCTGGGTCCCCAAAAGCCCTCCAGAAAATCCGATTTCACACCCGCGCTCTGTCAGAGACCATCGCGCGCAGCCTCTCGGAATATGTACAGGGGAGCTAAACCCTAAGCCTAAGATCATCCTACACCCTAAACCGGGAAGTAGAAGGTGAGACGCTCCCTTGCTGAGGCGCTTGGACTCTCCTTTCGTGACGGCCTCATGTGGCGGTCCGCGCCGACCCTCCTCCATGACGCGCCCTCACGTCTCTGCTCCAGCTTCTGCCGCTTTCCATGCTCGACCGACGGAGCCTTTGGGTCGTTTGAGCGGCCGGCAACTCTCCTCGTCCTCCTTGTGCCCTGACCTCGGCGTGACTCCACTGACACTGCTCGAGGGCTGCACCCTCGGCGCCGAGGGCACCCCGTACTGCGGAGGCGCCCGGGCTCGCCGGGCCCAGATCCCAGAATGCGAAGCTGTGGTCCTTGGGCTGCTGTGTAGACGGTCCTGGGTCGTGGGCATCGCGGGCTTGCGCGCAGTCGTATTGGTGAACACTCTTTCGGCCAGCGCGGGTGCGATCTCCAGGAAGTACTCGCAGGGTTTGCGGCACGCTGGCATGAGATCTTCGTTTTCTAGCAGCGAGCGAACGTTCACCCAGGAATGATACCCATCTCCGGCTGCCGTGCCAATCTTATCCATGCCGCCCCAGATCACCTCGTGGAGGGAGTCCCTCTCGGGTCCAGGTATATCTGGCCAATGGTAGCAAACGAACCCAAAGTTGAAGTGGGTGCCTTCCCCCCACCAGGCATATTCTGGTGACACTGGAAGCTCAAAGAGGTCTTTCTCCTCCTCCTCCCTAATTACAAATCCCGTTTCCTCTCGAAGCTCCTCAAGTGCTGTGACTCGGGCGCCACGGAAGATGTCGGAGCCATCGTCGCCGCACCTCCGCTTCTCGACAATGCCACCGGGCGCTGATATCATGTTCGACTCGGAAACCTGCTTGCTCCTCCGATGCACAAGGAGGTAGTAGTTCTCCTCGCCGTCGTCCAGGAAGAGGTACATACCACAGGAGCCGACATTCTTTTGCTTCTTCCCCCTGCCCATGGCTGCGAATAGACATCGATGAGGGGGCTGAGGGTGGAGGGTTGAGGATTTAGGGTTAGGTTTGAGGTTCAAGGTCTAGGCCTCTTTGATTTAAGGCTTAGGGTGTAGGGAAACAACACCATGCACTTTCTGCATGATCAAAAGCTTGTGCTGGCAGAGAACGCTGTGACTGCTGCTGTGCTTCTTTCTGCCCCTGTTTTTACAGGAGAAGAGTGTTGACGGAACAAGTACCAAAAAGCCGTCGTTGTCAACACGTGCGAGAGCAACAGCAAGTCGAGGTAGCAGGTGGAGGAAGGATCGTTTATGGACCAGGAGGTGGATATTGACGATGACGTACAACAGCATCAACATCTAGCCAACACAGCGATGTCTTGTCGTGTTGAGTTACTCTGCAGTGTGCCGTGCTTCATTCCAATCTGCCACGGCTATTCTACGGTCTTGAATGTGGAGACGTGTGTACATCCTTGAGGATTTACTCCCAAGTCATTGCGGCTTGTCTCTCCTGTCATCCTACAGATCGAAGCGCTTCTTTGACATAGGTCGCAGGCTGCATGCCATGGGCTAGAGATCGTGGATATCAGAACTATTAAGTGTAGTTCCGACCTACGGGCAGTTGTGCAGCTTCTGCCCTTCACGGGTTTAGGGTCCTTCGCCGGCCTCTGGGGCTGTGGAGGAGAGGGCTCCCTGTCATGATGGCGATTCAACTTGTAGCACAGTGACAGACTGACATGAAAGGTTTGTGGGTTTCTCTTTGGTCTAAGCGTCTACGATGCAGGCGGGTGCGGGTAAGGTGCCCGGCCTGCGATCTTTTGAAAAACTTCCCCCTGAACCCTAAACCCTAACCCCTAAACCCCTAAACCCTAAACCCCTAAAACCCTAAACCCCTAAAGCCCTAAACCCTAAACCCTAAACCCTAAACCAGGAGCCGAGGCGCTCCTTCCTCCATCCTGGGCCCTGGTAGGCCACGGTCAGCTTGCTGGGCAACTGGCCATGCCTCGGTTCATGAGACATCATTAGGGTTTAGGGTTTAGGGGTTTAGGGTTTAGGGTTTTGGGTTCAGGGTTTAGGCTGTTTAGGCTGTTTAGGGTTTAGGGTTTGGGGTTTAGGGTTTGGGGTTTAGGGGTTTGGGGGTTTAGGGTTTTGGGTTTAGGGTTTTGGCTTTAGGGTAACTAGCACATCTAAGAGGAGCCCATCACTTCCTCCCCAAACCCCGAAACTCCTTCGTCATTTTCGCGTCGTCGAACTGTCTATGTTAACGAGGCACTCGAGGAATTCGTGCACGACCCTCTCCTCGAGACTGGGGAAGGCAGAAGTTAAGCTATGCTGAAGCTAAGTACCCTGTATTGTGCTTATGGACGGTTTAAATGTACTTGACGAGGGTGACTGGATGCTGTCATACAAGTTCGACTCCTCGGTGTTGTTGCTCACTTTGTCATTTGTGGTCGATTATGATGCCTTCGTTTTTTTCTGTGTTGCCATGTGTTGTCGCGTCGTGCTTGTGTGCATCTAGCCCGCGGGAGGGGGGGGGACGAAGGCTCTTACAGCAGTGACACTCGGTGACTCCGGGTGGGAACACCCCCTTCCGTGCTACATAACGCCCGCCAGAATCATGCGCATCACGAGCCCTCCGTTTCTCCACACATGCGTTTTCCCACCAGGGCATATATTGGATGGTCGGAAAAGTCGCGATTTTGCCCGCACCCCCCCTCCCTCCGGTACAGGTCAGCAAAGGCGAGTATGAGCCGAAACCTTTGACAAGCGAAGAGAGTCCGAAGCGAATCTGCCCGCCAACTGGTGCAGATTTACCTTAGAAGCTTCCCAAGTAGGCTTTAAAAAAAAAAAAGCGACCCTCCTTTTTTCTGGGAGTCCTCCAAGTCCAGGATCAGAGCCAGGAGAAGCCATCGAACTCTCGTCAAGTTCGTGACCCCCTGAGTTCCACAAGTGCTTTGCACAAGCTGCAGACACCATCCCGCATCCCTATCTCTTCAAAGCTAAGTGGATTTAGGTTGAATGTAAATGGAGGCATGTACAAACCTCAGATGGTATGTAGTTTTATGTAAGTGGAAATTCACTCTCATTCTCCGAGAGCCAATGCGGCCTTCTCCAGCTGCGGATCGAAGACCCAGCCGTCCCCGACGGTGACGCTCTTCGTCGAGCCTGATGGAGACAACACGTTTCAAGAGCCAGCTCAGAGCTTGGGGATGCAACTTCTCTTTGGGACATCTCCCACATGGATCCTGGGTTCGGCAACCACCGGCCTTGCTTCATCGCCAGCTCATCCAAGGATCCATCAGTTAGCCAGGATGTCACCTCGTGCGCTTGACAATCAAACCCGAAGCTGACATGCAACCGACCCGAGACTTGGTCTGCGGGGTAGGACCGGGCCCATGTTCCTCTACCTCCTGGCTCCTGCCGACGAAATCCATGCTTCTGGGGTGCGACCAGGCTCTTCTTGGGGTCGGCGGCTCGCACAGGTGTGGCATCCTGCTGGCACCGGGACGCGTGGACTGCAGCCTCCCTTTGATGCCCGCCTATGGAAGACTTCGCAACCCATCGGGAGTGCCTTCTGTCGATGCTACGAAAACGACCAAGCATGCGAGCGGCTATGCGCTTCTAGAGGAAAAACGATTAACATGCAGAGGTGACCCGCTACAACCCGGCCGATGCCTGACCACGACAGTTTGCCACCAGGCGCTCTGCGACTTCTGCTGACACACCTCGGAAGTAGCACATTGCTTTGCAGTCGAGAGCAAAATAAAACTATTCTCCCGATTAAGTTCGTTCCCAAGTTTATGTTGGACCCTCCACGATTGTAGCACCATGATGATGACAATGACGGCGACGATGATGCTCATGACGATGATGATGCTGCTGCCGGTGATGAGAAAAAGATGAAGAGGAAGCGGAAGAGTATAAAGATGACAATGATGATGATGGCGGTGGTGGTGATGATAAAATTGTGGCGGTGGTCGTGGTGCTGGTGCTGACTCCGGCGCTGGTGCTACTGCTAGTTGATATCAGGAGTCAGGCTGTGGAGGAGAGGTGGCACGCAGCACGGCAGTCATGACAACATGTGTTTTTGTCATCCTGACGCTCACTGCAGATGCCTCCCAACTTGTCTCGGCTCCGGTTGCTACAGCACACTCCTGCAACATCTAACATCAACTCTTTGGAGTGAAATGGAACAGGCTGTGCTCTTGCAGTTATTGACGTGATCACAATACCTGGAGATCCTTTTTTGCATGGTACCTGGTACCCCTCTGATCGTAGCATTTCTTCTGACACATACGCCAACGTACACCATGTCAGGACTATGCGCGATGTGAAGTCCCCGCTGCGGGTCATGGGTCTTGTAGCACCGGCGGACAGTCATCAAAGTCCGAGCCCAAAAAAGTGGCGCTCAAATCCACCGGACTCAGTCAAACCGTTGCGCGTGCCCTAAGGCCTATCACCTCATGTCATTGGAGTGGCTCCCTCAAAGGGCAGGTGTCTACGAAGCATATGGCGGGGGCAGCGGAGGCGGTGGTGCTACTTGGCATGAACCAAGCACATGCAGAAGACCATCACGGCTCTTCGCAGGGGATTTAAAATTTGTGCCTGGGGATTCCTGGAAGAAGACCTGAACCCTGGAAGAGTACAGGCCAGTAGCTGGTTCAAGTTAAGTCTCGTTCGACTGACGTATTCTTCTGGCACGGCGGCTTACGTAGTTGTTGCTTCCGCGCCCTTCCGCGGAGCAACGCCTTCCGCAGCCCTTCCGCGTCCTTCCGCGCGCACAGTCCCAGAGACGGAATTAATAAACGCTGCACTGTCGTGTACTCCAGTCACTGCCTCACCGAACTTACTGTTGATACTTGTGAGTTCGCTGAAAGCAGCCGCCCACCAAACTCGTAGCCAGAAAAGAAGTTCACACAAGGCGCAGAACGGGTTTTAACAAGCCTTCATGTCCTCGTCACTTTGAAACAAGGAAATGCCATGAACTAACCGCAGTCACTTCCAGTCATGCCATGCCCACAGTCTGGATGAAGACCGAAAAGTAAGTCCGTCCATTGAGCCAAAGCAAGAACACTGTGTAGCAGGAGCAGCAGAGTCGGTAGGAGGAGGAGGAACAGTGTACCGTGCTGGCGGGAGCAAAGCAGAATCTGACACGATAAAGATCAATGAAGTGATCCTCTCCCTGCAGTGCGCAAATCCATCTGGTCGAAAACTAAAGCGCCAATAGGGACATGCGGCATGCGTTGCCCATGCGGGTACAACCGGACATGACACGAACGCACTGAAACCCCGTGAGAGACGGCACAAGACTTCCCAAAATGGCCTGAGCTCCGGGCCCAAGGCTTCTTGGAGTTCCTTGCGCCCGAAGCGTTGCAGATCCGCAGCGGTCTGAAGCTTCAGTGCCTCAAGGAATGACCTAGCCCTGTGTTTATTCCGTGTATGGAGCTGCGGCAAGGATGTGAGAAATCCGTGCTTCAGGACTTCCTTCCATCTGCAGAGTGTGTAGCAACATGTAGCAATGTGGCAAACGCATGAAGACCAGTGCTTATCAGTGCTTGTTTGTTTGCTTGCACATGTGGAGAACTTCATGGGGACCGAGTCGACAGGAGTTCAGCTGGCTGCTAAAACGCATCCAAAATCTCCTCCTTACGGTTTCCGATGATGGCCCAACTGATCTGGCAGACCAAAACGGCGGGGCGCGTTAGCTGTGCCATGTGATTCATGTCTCCTCAGACCTCCACGGGGTGCCTGCAGCTGCTCTCCACGGCTCCCGCAGCCCGGCAGCCGCGTTGCAGGTGTGGCAGCCAGCAGTGAAGCGCCTAAGAGCAGAGTGAATCTAGCGGCATCCTATCATATCTGCAATAACATGTACATGCCATTAGACGACCTTGCGGGAATGAGAGTTGTCGCAATTGGCCAGTGTTCCGAAGCGCTTCGGATAGCTCGGCTCACGTCTCGAGTCTCTCAGCTGCCGGAGAGGCACAGGAATCGGGACCTTCGACGATGCAGATGCCGTCCCCCCGGGGCGGCTTTGCTGCGATGGAACCCAGCTTTGCAAGCAGGCGGTTGGGAGCGATGCCGACACTGACCCGGACTCCGATGGTCACTTGAAGCTCTGCGACGAGCTTCTGAGCAAGGCTTTTCGCCTGCGCAAAGCGATCTTCACCTGCCACGGCCTCTGAAGCGTCCAGGAAGGCCTCGGCAAAGCCGAGTACCCTATGAGGACTCTATGGTGCAAGGGCATCGGAGGCGGAGGCGTCCCTGGCCTCATCGATGCTGAGCCGCTCAAGGACAAAGCCACCCCGCTCCTCAGCCAGCAGCCTGTGGAGATGGGCGAACATCTCCCTGCTGATGGTCTGGTAGGGGCCATACCAGACGCGGGGACCTTCGGCCAGGGAAAAACGACAGACACCTCTGCACGGCAGTCCCCAAAGCTCTCTCCTTTTCGCCTCACCCCCCCCCCCCCGTGACCCGTGAGGGCATATATCTGGGCTGAAGCTCAAAGCAGAAGCGCAGCATCGGCCTGGCCAGCGCCTGGAGAAGGCGTGCACCATGCGCCCGCCGATGCTGTCCTCAGCTTGCAAAGTTTGCACCCCGACCTCGCCTCTCGCCTGGAGCAGCTCCTGAAATCTCGGGGAAGTGGCTTCACGTCATAATGGGGTCTTCTCACGAAGAGGGGGTGCGGTTGCAGACACGAGACATGACATGACATGGCTCAGAACTAAGGGAGGTTTGGGTATCCCTAAATCTCAGAAGTCCCAGGTCTGGAAAACACCACAAGGCCCAAGGCTCGACGAGGGGCTGCGCCTCGCTTGGCCGCATATGCTTCTTCACCCCAGCGGCCTAAGCTCTGCCACACTCCCAACCACCACAAGAACAAGAATAATAACAAGAACAAGAGCTAGTACAATTAAAAATGCAAAAAATACTGTAGTTTCTAATTATTCTTGTTGTAGTATTTGCAATAATATCCCAAGAGCACTGCTCAGACTCGAGTAATGCGGCCACAGACAGCTT